TATTTTCACATGCGCAATATATGAAAAGGTATCCATTTTTTAAATCTAAATCATGAATTGAAGGTGAGGTAACTCTGAAATTTTCTGAAGGAATTTAAATAAAATTTTGCTATTTTATATTTTAGCCGGAAAAATGTACAGTGACCCTATTTTTTCTTATTATATTCTCAAAGCATTTTCCAAAAGTTGTCTTCTCGTATTTATTTTATAATTCTATCATTCAGTTTACAGGTAGCTTCTAATCGCATAATTAATGATGTTTTTTTCCTGTATAATCCATACAAAATGTGTCATTTTGTCACAACCTGTAGCTTCAGAAAATGCTCGGTAACCTATCATTTTTTATTATATTTTTGAACATATCACAATATATACTACATTTAAGCAAAGTCTGCAGTGGTGGATCCAGAACTTTTCATAAGGGGGGATGGGGAGCACTGGCTGACCTATTAAGGGGGCCGGCTCCAGTTATGCTTCAGTGATTGCTTCAGTGATTCCCTATATGATCAACCAAATTTTTCCCACAAATGGGGGGCGTCCCCCCCCCCCCCCCCACCCCCTCCGGGATCCGCCTATGGTATGAAAAAATTCTATCAATTTTTAATTCATACTCCCATACCACCTTAACGGGATTCTAAAGGTTTTCTGACTTCGTCCCCTTTCACAGGTAACACCTGCCTCATATTAATATTCAATAAAATGCTCCGCAGGGCGCAGCTTGATACGACCGCAGAGGTCGAACCCTGAACAGTTGGGGCAAGTATGGACATAACATTCAAGCTTGATACAGCTTTGCATTTGGATTGTGATTAAATATTTGACACAGCATAGGTTTCTGACACAGAATGAATGTGGTCTAAGAACTTAAAAATTTTAAATTGGACATTCACCTATTATGGTCCAATATCCAAAATCTAAATACATGGTTAGATTCAGCATATCAAAGAACCCCAAGAATTCAATTTTTGATGAAATCAAACAAAGTTTAATTTTGGACCCTTTTGACCTCAATGTGGACAAAGTTGATAACGGGGCCCAAAAATCAAAAATCTAAATACATGGTTAGATTCAGCATATCAAAGAACCCCATATATTCAATTTTTGTTGAAATCAAACAAAGTTTAATTTTGGACCCCGATTTGGACCAACTTGAAAACTGGGCCCATAATCAAAAATCTAAATACATGTTTAGATTCAGCATATCAAAGAACCCTAAGAATTCAATTTTTGTTAAAATCAAACTAAGTTTAATTTTGGACCCTTTGGACCTTAATGTAGACCAATTTGAAAACGGAACCAAAAACTAAGAATCTAAATACACGGTTAGATTCGGCATATCAAAGAACCCCAATAATTCAATTTTTGATGAAATCAAATAAAGTTTAATTTTGGACCCTTTGGACCTCAATGTGGACCAATTTAAAAACGGGGCCCAAAATCCAAAAACTAAATACACGGTTAGATTCAGCATATTAAAGAACCCCAAGAATTCAAGAATAAAACCCCATTGAAATTGGTCAAGAAATAAACAATTTATACGAAGTATCTTCTTTTGCACAATACTGTGCAATTAATTATTTCTTGCTATTGTGCAATACTGTACAATTGACAATTTCTTGCTATTGCGCAATATTGTGCTATTGGATATTTCTTGCTATTGCGCAATACTGTGCAATTTAAGATTTCTTGCTATTGCGCAATACTGTGCAACTGAAGATTTCTTGCTATTGTGCAATACTGTGCAATTGAAAATTTCTTGCTATTGCACAATATTTATTATATAATAATTTACACATCCTGTTTGGTGTGTATCTCCTACCATATCATTATTATTTGCTTTTAAATATAAATCAGAAATAACCAACTTAAAATGGAAAATTTTAAAAGAAAAAAAAAAGGAAAAAAAAAAAAATCCCCCCCCCCAAATTTTTTGAACCCCCTTATGATTCATCACCCCCAAACTCAATCCCAGCCTTCCCTTTGTGGTATGGTACCTTGCAGTACAATTTCAGAGAGATCCATACACTTGAACACAAGTTATTGTCTGGAAACTAGAAAAATGTGTTTTTTTGCCCCTTTTTGGCCCCAAATTCCTAAACGTTTAGGGCAATTACCCCCAAACTCAAACCCAGCTTTCCCGTTGTGATACGGAACCTTGTAGTACAATTTCAGAAAGATCCATACACTTACACACAAGTTATTGTCCTGAAACTAGAAAAATGCTTGTTTTTTGCCCCTTTTTGGCCCATAATTCCTAAAATATTGAGGCAATTACCCCCATCATCAATCCCAGCCTTCCCTTTGTGGTATGGTACCTTGCAGTACAATTTCAGAGATATCCATACACTTGAACACAAGTTATTGTCTGGAAACTAGAAAAATGCTTATTTTTGGCCCCTTTTTGGCCCCCTATTCCTAAACGTTTCGGCAATCACCCCCAAACTCAATTCAAGCTTTCCCTTTGTGATATGGAACCTTGTAGTACAATTTCAGAAAGATCCATACACTTACACACAAGTTATTGTCATGAAACTAGAAAAATGCTTGTTTTTTGCCCCTTTTTTTGGCCCCTAATTCCTAAAATTTTGAGGCAATTACCCCCAAAATCAATCCCAGCATTCCTTTTGAGATATGGAACCTTGTGGTACAATGTCAGAGAGATCCATACACTAACACACAAGTTATGTCTGGAAGTTACAAAAATGCTTATTTTGGCCCCTTTTTGGCCCCTAATTCCTTTACTGTTGGTACCATAACCCCCAAAATCAATCCCAACCTTCCTTTTGTGGTATTGAACCTTGTGGTAAAATTTCATAGAGATCCATTCACTTAAACTAAAGTTAGAGTGCGAAAACCAATGTGTCTTCGGACGACGCCGGACGACGCCGAACGACGACGACGACGACGACGACGACGCCAACGTCATACCAATATACGACCACAAAAATTTTTTTGCGGTCGTATAAAAATGAATTTGAATATGTATCATGACCGTTTACTTTTTTTGCTATCTTTAAAAACCTAAGGCCATTAGTGCTTTTAGGTCTTTTTATCATGCAGTGAATACAAAATTAAAAAAAAATCTTAAAAACTCATTTTCATCTGTATGTAAAATTGTTTCATATATTTCTACACCTGATTCAGCCCTCAGTTTGGGAAAGTATGTTCAGTTGATACTGTATTTTTTGTCCAATCACACTGTTCAGATACATTGACTTAAAAAGAGCAACCTAAATTCCGGATTGCAAATACTACCGTGCTACCTACAAGCATCGTGTATAAGTTTCGTAATTTTTTGTCGAAGCATAGATATAATAGCCTATATCTATGGTCGAAGCAAAGTAAAATTAGATTGCGGAAACTGAAAATCTCCAATTTTTCCGGTTAACATAAAAGGAAATAACTCGAAAACGGTGAAAGTGACACCTCCCAAATTCGATTTTGATCTGTGCTTTGTGGTAATAATTATTTATTGTGTTTTAGGCAAACTCAAGTTAGAGAACATAGATCAATTCCGCGACGTACGGAACAATACCTAATTCCTGTTTCAGATATACATGGAGAGCAGCACTCTTGCAATTATGAGAGAAATAATTTAAGCGTTCGTCTTATATTAATTTTCCAAACTATTTCTGTATATAATGACTGGTTCGTAGTCCTGGTCTAAGAAATGGTATTTTGATAGGTAGAGTGAGTGGTTCGTAGTCCCGGTCTAAGATATGGTATTTTGATAGGTAGAGTGACTGGTTCGTAGTCCCGGTCTAAGATATGGTATTTTGATAGGTAGAGTGAGTGGTTCGTAGTCCCGGTCTAAGATATGGTATTTTGATAGGTAGAGTGACTGGTTCGTAGTCTAGGTTTAAGATATGGTATTTTGATAGGTAGAGTGACTGGTTCGTAGTCCCGGTCTAAGGCATGGTATTTTGATAGGTAGAGTGACTAGTTCGTAGTCCCGGTCTAAGACATGGTATTTTGATAGGTAGAGTGAGTGGTTCGTAGTCCCGGTCTAAGACATGGTATTTTGATAGGTAGAGTTACTGGTTCGTAGTCCCGGTCTAAGACATGGTATTTTGATAGGTAGAGTGAGTGGTTCTTAGTCCCGGTCTAAGACCTGGTATTTTGATAGGTAGAGTGAGTTGTTCGTAGTCCCGGTCTAATATATGGTATTTTGATAGGTAGACTAAGAGTGAGTGGTTCGTAGTCCCGGTCTAAGATATGGTATTTTGATAGGTAGAGTGAGTGGTTCGTAGTCCCGGTCTAAGATATGGTATTTTGATAGGTAGAGTTACTGGTTCGTAGTCTAGGTTTAAGATATGGTATTTTGATAGGTAGAGTGACTGGTTCGTAGTCCCGGTCTAAGACATGGTATTTTGATAGATAGAGTGACTAGTTCGTAGTCCCGGTCTAAGACATGGTATTTTGATAGGTAGAGTGAGTGGTTCGTAGTCCCGGTCTAAGACATGGTATTTTGATAGGTAGAGTTACTGGTTCGTAGTCCCGGTCTAAGACATGGTATTTTGATAGGTAGAGTGAGTGGTTCTTAGTCCCGGTATAAGACCTGGTATTTTGATAGGTAGAGTGAGTGGTTCGTAGTCCCGGTCTAAGATATGGTATTTTGATAGGTAGACTAAGAGTGAGTGGTTCGTAGTCCCGGTCTAAGATATGGTATTTTGATAGGTAGAGTAAGTGGTTCGTAGTCCCGGTCTAAGATATGGTATTTTGATAGGAAGAGTGACTGGTTCGTAGTCCCGGTCTAAGATATGGTATTTTGATAGGTAGAGTGACTGGTTCGTAGTCCCGGTCTAAGGTATGGTATTTTGATAGGTAGAGTGTCTGGTTCGTAGTCCCGATCTAAGATATGGTATTTTGATAGGTAGAGTGACTGGTTCGTACTCCCGGTCTAAGATATGGTATTTTGATAGGTAGAGTTACTGGTTCTCGGTCTAAGGTATTTTGATAGGTAGATAATCACCTTATAAAACAATAAGTAATGTTATAAGTCAGTCGATATAAATGTTTAATGGCATATATGGTGGTGGTGTACAATGTATAAAACTATAAAACTATATAAATATATGTGTTTGTGGTATGGATGTAGCATTTAGACTAATTCAATAATGCAGTAGCCTCCTTTGTCATAATTATTATTTAGGGGGTGGATTGTAATTGGCCTGTGGATAAACTGTTTGTGGGTACCCTTGTTGTCCAACTGAAGCACCCTGTGGCTGCAGCACTGTTCCACTAGTGTTTGCTCTGCGCCCTGTAAGACAGAAATATACTGATATATATATATATATATATATATATAAGAAATAAATGTCTTGACATGTATTAGTTATCTTATTCTCATTGCATTGTTTTATGATAAGTTTTGTGGTGTTCGTTGCTTGAATTTGTTTGTACCTTTATTTTGATTATTTTTTCCCAAGAACTGAAACTTGAGACAAATAATTATGTGTGAAATAGGTTCTAAGCCAGAATCAATACACACTTACACTGGATATAAATCTATTCAAATATTTTGCACACTGCTGATCATTAAAAATAAACTAGTGAATGTAAATTGCCTTTTGCACCCTAACATTAGAAATAATTTTTTGCTCATGTCTCAAGTCAGGAACTCCTAGCCTTTGTTAGTCTTGTTCGTTTTTTTTTAAATTTTGGTTCATTTGTATAATTCGGAGATTAGTGTGACGTCCATTTCGCTGAACTAGTGTAGATTATTGAATTAAGGGCCAGCTAAGCTCGCCTCCGGGTGCAGAATTTCTGCTTGCGCCGAAGAACCATTGTAGGCATTAACGCTTTTAATATAAAACTACTGTACGATTTAGTCTAAACAATATATTGTTTAAATAACTATAATTAAGCAATAATAGACCATACAAAAAGGATCCAGAAACCAGAAACATTGTGCTTTAAAAATATCAAGTCAAAAGAATATTTATAAATTTGAAATATGCAAATACTATACGGAGACGATCGGAGTAATCCCGCTTGTTTAGTGCATCCACAAGGATATGTGTGAAGTTTATAAATAAGAAAGTAAGTTCGGTAGATATGGAACGTCAAGTCCTGTTATCCTTGTAAGAGAGCCAAACGCTCTAGATATGTGCGAAGAAGAATTCTTTGAATAATGCTCTTAAAGAAGTCAGTGAATGGTTGATTTCATAGATGATTTGCTTCCATTATATGCTCCTTATTATCTGGCATTTAAATATTTCCCCTTTCGTCTAGGTAACTCGAATGAATGAAATATTTGAGCAAACAACTATATTTTATTGCTATCAAATTGAAGAAAGAACACGTTTATATCTAGATGTTTTTCAAACATTGTCTAAACCACGTATTGTTGTAATTTCTGGCGATTTGTATACCTCCTGCAAAAGTTTTGCAAATACAAAAAAAAACTTACCTCTGCAGCAACACACACAAATCACAGCAACAAAAATTCCAAAACTAACCAAGCAACCTATTGCTATACCAACAATGGCTCTGTAATAAATAAAACCAAATTGATTATGTTAATCATAATATTGATATACACACCTCTTTTAATAAGTCATTATACGACGAATTGTTCTTATTTGATATTATTCTTCACCACTTCAACAATATTATATACACTACTCTGTTTAATGCGGTGTTCACACAGTGCCGATTATGGCTCCCGTTTGAGATCAGACAGCGCTAGGATACAAAATCTGAAAAAGTCGGATTACTATCCTGAATGATCTGGAATGTCCTATCATTGTCTGAACGCAGTCAAATACGTTCGTAACAGATTCCTACGGATCGGGAATGGTCCGGAGCGGTCGGTCAAGCACCCCGACAGTTAGGTGCGTCCAGTAACATTCGGGGAAACTCAGCCGATTTTGTCTAGTCGGATTGAAATCGTGACTATGTCGTGACAGATTCTGCTATATCGGATCAAAATCGGAACATTATTCTGTGTTTTCTGGACGGTGTCCTGTAGAACGGACATGATCTGGAGAAATTTGTCATTGTTGGTTTTTTGCCGATTGAGTCCAGATTGCATCCAGATCTTACCGAATGCGAGCCGTCTTTGTCGAAACCGTTCCGGAACAGTTCCGTTATTAATACGAAATTCGGCAATGATACCCACGTCAGAGTCCCGACAATTACCGAACACAATACGATTGAGTCCAGACAAAGCCATTTGCATTGCGGTACAGCAGACTGTGATAGGATTGCGTTCCGACAGTACCTGATCATCCCGAATATGGCGACAGTTTTCAAACGGATATCTTCCAACAGCGTCGGTTCACTGTCTGATCACTGTCTGATCTCTGTCGGATCAAATTTGGTTGATTCGGGACGCTGTTAGGACATATTCGGTTGATTTCAACCTTCCGAAAGATACAAATCGGAATGAGAAAGGGAATAATCGAGTCAAATTCGGATAGAAACGGCTGATTTAAGACGCTTCCTGAACAATATCTGATTGTTGTCGTGATTAAAATAATTGTTTTTACAAATTTCAATTAATTTATAAAAGTTTGAATTTCCAGCCACGATTCACTGGATCTTGATCAGACTTTTGACAAATTTTAATCGGGAATGGTCCTGTCAACGCCGGCTGTGAAAATCGTGAATGTGTGACCCAGCTTACACTACAAAAGTCAAAAAGTCTGAAAAGACCAGTTTTTGTCTGAATTTGCATGAATTTTTACTCGACATTCTTAATTTGTCTGAATAATTTTTAAAAATTCTTGACATAGTATGAATTTGTCTAATAAGGTTCTTGATTTTACTTGACAAGTGTCTTGACAGTATGAACATTGTCTTAAAATTTCTCGACACTTCCTGTATCATCTGATAAGAGTCTGGATTAGTCTCGACCAATTCTTGACTGTCTTAAATTTGTCTCGATCTGTCTTGACATATTCTTGACATTCTTAATAATGTCTGAATATGTCTCGACATATTCTTGACATTCTAAATAATGTCTGAATATGTCTCGACACATTCTTGACAGTCTTAAATATGTCTTGACACTATCTCAACAGTATAAATTTCGCCTGAAATGTGAACAGACTTATTCTGCACTGTTTATGACATTCTATTGCTGTTGTATACTCCATTTTGTTATGGCTAAACTCAACTTTGAAGAATCAAGGATTAATTTGGTATAGTAAGATACCCTTTTGGTGCAACTAAGTTGGAATACCCTGAATAATCCCCCATGTAGTTTAATTTTGATTTATTTTTATTAAACATTTAAGTAATTGTTTTCACTTGGAATATAAGTCAAAGGTATTGACAAACAGCATTTAGATTTTTGCCGTTCGCAAAACTGCCAGTCAAATTTGCTTTACTAAAATAGGTGTCTTGTATCTCTTTTGGACCCCACAATTCATTTTTGGGTTTGTGTGGCTAAAAAAAGAGGGGGGGGCTTTCGGTTAGGTCAAAGAATTTGTTCCCATCTTGATTCAAAAACCTTATTCATTTTTTAGAACAACCCAAAAACATTTTTTATTCAAATGTGAGTGTTGAATTTTATAATTTTTTATCAAAAATAAATATTTGTGATAACTCCTTCCTGAAAAGAAAAAAATGTTTAGATCTATATTATGCAAGTCTGTGTGAGAACCATTTCATAAGACCGATGATTTCTATAGAAATCATTGATGGGACCCATTATAAATACATTTTTTTTATTATTCCTGGAGTAGATAATAATTTTCTTTTAATCTTTGGGAATTATTCAATTTGTTTTTATGTTAAAATAATTAACTTCATAACTTTGATGAAGAAAATCCATTTCAATTCAATTTTTTTTCATCAAAATAATGATTTTCATTATCATCTATCAACAAACTTTTTAAATTGTAGTGGCATGGTCGGTCAACTGATAAGTTGTATGGCTGATTACAGGTAAAGCAATAACTTCTATTTGACAGTTGCGTGTACTCTGGGGTGTGGAATACCTTAATTTTATGGGGAACATCCTGTCCATGTGTAATACTTAATATATTCCAACAGATGACATTACACAAATTTTTCTTCTGTTAAATGAATGATTTGTATATCATCATAATTTGCTATTTATATAAACCACATTTTGGTATAATAATTATTTACCATATCAACATTGAATATTATGAATGTAGAATGAAATATGTCTACAATATGATTGGTTTGAATCATTTAATTTATAAGATTTAGGAATCAAAATTTGTAATTATTTAAAAACCCACATTGAAATTGTTTTATATCAACACACCCACATTTGAATTATTTTATACTTTAGATTTCATATCCATATTTGCATTTGTAAAAATATTTATATACCCAAATTTTGAATTATTTTACATGCCCAACTTTTATTTTTGTTGTAAAGAAGTGCAACTTGAAACAACAGTATATCATATAAAGAGAAATAAAGATTAAAGTTATATCATGAATATTGGTCATGATTTGTAAAACTCAGAACTGTCAAGTAAATTTAAGACACGATTCAAAATGTTCAGAATATGTCAAGCCATACTGAGAAAAAATAAGAATGTCGAGAATATGTCGAGAAATTTCAAGACAGTATTCAAATGTCAAGAATTTGTCAAGAAATTTTAAGACCATATTCAGAATGTCGAGAATATGTCGAGTAAATTTCATACAAATTTAATATAAATGAGAATTTGTCAAGAAAAATTAAGACACAAGTCATACTTTTGGAGAATGTCGAGTAAAAGTTCATGGAAATTAAGACAAAAACTGGTCTTTTCAGACTTTTAGACTTTTGTAGTGTTAATGAAAAGCAAAACCAATGAAGTAATAAAAAATCGATATTTTAAAACTATTTACTGATTTGAACATTTAGTAATGAAAAAAAAAATAAATAAATAACATACACAACGAATTGAACTAAAGATTTAATCTAGCCAGGTTTTCGCAATAGCTGACTTGAAAGTCGGGATTAAATGAATGCTCTGAAAATAATCTAACTGAAAAGAACAAATAAGAAATATAACAGTTAAAATCATCTGAGCCCTTAAAGTGTAAAAATATATAAAAATGGGTATCAGCCTCACCACCTAGAAAACACCAAATTTTCAAATACATATGTCACTCCAATTGTTAGTTTGTTAATTGATGAATTATTTACACCTTTTTATAGAAAGGCATCAGAATCACAGTTAAAAATGGTCTGCACCTTTTATGGAACAGCATTGGAATCACTGTACAAATTATTTTACACCTTTTATAAAACAGCATCAAAATCACAGTACAAAAAGGTCTGCACCTTTTATAGAACAGCATCGGAATCACAGTACAAAATAGTTTGCATCTTTTATAGAACAGAATAGGAATCACAGTACAAAATGGTCTGCTCCTTTTATAGAACAGCATCGGAATCACAGTACAAAATAGTTTGCATCTTTTATAGAACAGAATCGGAATCACAGTACAAAATGGTCTGCACCTTTTATGGAACAGCATCGGAATCACAGTACAAATTATTTTACACCTTTTATAAAACAGCATCAAAATCACAGTACAAAAAGTTCTGCACCTTTTATAGAACAGCATCGAAATCACAGTACAAAATAGTTTGCATCTTTTATAGAACAACATCAGCATAACAGTACAAAATGGGCTGCACCTTTTATAGAACAGCATCGGAATCACAGTACAAAATGGTGTACACCTTTTATAGAACAACATAAGAATACCAGTACAAACTGGTTTACATCTTGTATGGAATAGCATCAGAATCACAGTATAAAATAGCCTGCACCTTTATAGAACAGCATAACAGTACAAAATGGTTGACACCTGTTATAGAACAACATCAGCATAACAGTACAAAATGGTCTGCACCTTTTAAAGAATAGCATCGGAATCACAGTTCTAAATGGTCAGCACCTTTGATAAAAAAACATCAGCATAACAGTATAAAATGGTAGAATAACAGTTCAAAATGGATTGCACCTTTTATGGAACAACATAAGAATACCAGTACATACTGGTTTACATCTTGTATAGAATAGCATTAGAATCACAGTATAAAATAGCCTGCACCTTTATAGAACAGCATCGGAATCACAGTACAAAATGGTCTGCAGCTTTTGTAGAACAGCATCAGAATCACAGTACCAAATGGTCTGCGCCTTTTATAGATCAGCATCGGAATCACAGTACAAATTATTTTACACCTTTTATAAAACAGCATCAAAATCACAGTACAAAAAGTTCTGCACCTTTTATAGAACAGCATCGAAATCACAGTACAAAATAGTTTGCATCTTTTATAGAACAACATCAGCATAACAGTACAAAATGGGCTGCACCTTTTATAGAACAGCATCGGAATCACAGTACAAAATGGTTGACACCTTTTATAGAACAACATAAGAATACCAGTACAAACTGGTTTACATCTTGTATAGAATAGCATCAGAATCACAGTATAAAATAGCCTGCACCTTTATAGAACAGCATAACAGTACAAAATGGTTGACACCTGTTATAGA